GGACTTGACAAAGAAAAAAAATCTCATGTTTGACCTGATGTCACAGGGAAACAAGGCTGACTTCTTTGGCCTTGCTGTTCAGGCGTTGTTAAACAGCAGAACCTGAAATCTGAATCGGGGTCTATGCTTTGCATTTGGTTTTCATTATTTTTCTACATGAAACCTTTGGGAGCAGCAACCAGGGATGAGGTCATACAGCCAGTGACAGCCAAGCCAAACATCCTGCCTCCTCCACAAAGATGAGGACACATGAAAAAGGGAAGCAGGTGGAAAGTGGATGCCAGGTTCTCACTCTTTCTCCTGGAGGTGTCGAAGCGCTGAAGGAATGAAAATACTCCAGGATGGTTTGGATAGCCCCTCATCTTCTTTGGAATGCTTACAGGAGCGAACAATGAGTTTTGCAAAATTGAATTGTCACAATCACCTTCATTAAAGACACTTGGCATGACTGACCCATGTTCATCTGTCCAGGAATAATGATGTGTTACTATAGGCAAGACTAAGTATGTTGGCCATTAATATTTCTCCTTCCAGTGGGAAAAGAAAACCTGTAATGAAAGGCATCCTGATTAGAACCACCTAAACTGACTGAATCACTAAATGATCAGTGAAGAAACTGATCATTTAACATAATCAGCTTCAAATATCATCAGTAATAACAAAAATCACACTCAAATAGTAATCACAATTCTGAATAAATCTAAGATATATTTTCATTCAGTTTAAACTTCATTAGAGGTTATCTTTTATTCCTGATCAATGCTGAGATAGATTTAACAGAAATGTGCTCTAGTCAATAAAAGTTAATTAAATGCTTTCATTTCTTTTACGTTGCTCTAATTCGCAACACGTCACCTCAGCGCGCTTTACAGTCATTAAATCAAACCATCCAGACAGATTGTTTAAAAGTTTCTATCTAAAGAACCCAGCAGACTATCATGAGTAACTCCACATAGCAGTGTTTAACACATTAACTCATATAGCAGCTATTTATAGTAAATAACTTATTTACCCAAAAGTAATACTCATTACTGCACTTAATGCATAATGGCAAACTGGATGTTTTGGAACCTATCTATGCGCATTAACAGGCTTTATCTAGGCTTGAATTAGGTGGAAAATAATGTTGTTTAAGAATACTATGTTAAAAAGGAGTTAGAATTACTGTATTTCCAGTGTTTGTGTATAATAAATAACAGTTAAATGTACCTAGTCACCTTATATAACCATATCAAAAAGACCCAAATGTCATGATCTTGGTGCTGATGACTGGCTGGATTACTTATTCACCTGTGTAACTCCACCCGTTTTCTTGTTACCGTTCCTCTGACCCACCTGCTCCTGCTTCTATTTAACCAGCTCTCTAACCAATCATCAGTGCCAGATTATTCTTAAGCCAGTGGTGAGAGTGATTCAGCGTTACCTTAGTGTTGATTACTGATTACCTAATCCTGACCTGTTCTGAGTCTAAACTACTGAGCCTGCCTGTTCCCATCTGATCTGTTTGCCTGACCTGTCTTTGGACTCCTGTTAGATTCTGCTTGTTAATTGAACTTGGAACTGCTTCCCATCACCTTCCTGGATTTCCCTTCAGAGCTTCTTTTGACTTCTGATCTCCTGGTTCTGAATCCTGAGTACGTCCTCCACATCGGCTTTGGCTTCGCTTTCTGGATTATCCTGCCCTCCTTCATCTGCCCAGATCTGGTTTCCTGCTTATTTTCCTTCCTCCAGGGCTACGGCATCTGGGACACTCTAGGCAGTGCCGCATCGTGATGGCATCCCGCTAGCTGGATCCTACCTCATTCTCTAGGCACAGACTAAGCTATAAAACAAGAAGTTCCTGCAGCTCCTACAGATCTGCAGTTTTTAAATAAACACTTTTGAGATGTATGTTTGCCTTGAATACTGGGTGGTCCTCTGCTCTGACATTGACACAAAATCCAGTTAATTAGTATAAAATAAGACTATATACTCCAAGCATCAATCCTGAAAGTGTTTGATTGTCCTTTTTGAGCCTAAATAGAGCCTCAGCACCAAGCGCAATGAGCTAATACAAACAGATGTGGCACCATCTACAAACAGGACCAATTAACTACCGGAGCGCAAGATGAGGGCCATTGATGCAGCTCCTAAATAAGTTCTAACTATGACGGCCATGCTGTAATACCTCGCAGAAAGTCAACTAGCTTTATGGTACTCCATTGGTCATACTTTTTTTCCCATCACAACTCAATTTTTATCCCATTCGGAAGATTTCAATTTAGACCCAGCTCTTGAATTTAATCTGTTGGTCCAAAATGGTCTGCTATCAGATGCCATTGATTAGTGGATACAATTTACACAGCATTGCTTTAATGTTTAATCATTATATTTTGATTACCTAAGTTAATATATACAGTTCGCTCATTGATCTAATGTGTGTAATGGCTAATATGCACATATAGTCATATAAATACAGTCATAGATGTATTAATATAGTGAGTCTAAATGCTCTCTTTGATTATACTGCAGTTTATTTGTTGAAAAGCTCACCGCTGAGCCAACCGCAAGTAAACTGGGAGCCAGAGCAATAAGAAAGTCCAAGACACTCTGCGATATCTACAAAATCTCAAGCAGCGTCAACAACTGACAACATTAGGTGATCATAAAAGAGGTACCATAGGAATCCAGTTTGTGTGGGTTGTGTTTTTGTGTTGTTCACTCCTTCCACCACCAGGTGGCTCCCTGTTCTCGTTGGTCCCCCCACACACCTGCGGCTGGTTGGCTCATTACTGAGGACTATTTGAGCTGTGGACTGTCAGTACCTCGACGCCAGAGTGTTTGCCAGTTTTGGGTACTCTAGCCAAGCTGAGTTTTGCTTAGTCTAACTGAGTCTTTGTTTTCACTGAGCCTAACCTTGTTTTTGTCTTTGCCTTTTCGGCAGGAAGCTTTCTGCAAGCTGGATGTTTGGCCTTCTTCCCCTGGAAGGATTGTTTGAGTCTCACACTGAGCAGGGGGTTAACCTCCACAAGTTCCATTCAAGTCCTCCTGGATTTCCAAGTGACAGTCCGCTCAATAGCTCCTCAGGATCCAACCAAGTCTAAACCTGTCCACCTTCCAACGAGTCTCTACCTCTAGATAAACCCACACTAACTGGATTCTGGGAGAAGAGGTCTTCTCAACCAACGTGAGTCCCGTTTTCTCTGTCTCTCCAGCCATCGCTCAAAGTTCCCATGGATCCTGAACTAACCGCTGATACTTCCCTTCCCTCCTCCAGTTCCGGTTCCCCAGCAAACTGAGTTTCCTGAATCCAACCCCCACTGTCCTTATCAATAAACCTGTTTAAACTTTTACCCTGGTTCTCTGAGTGGTTTACTGCATGTGGGTCAGATCTCTTAAGAAAATCATGACAGGTACCAGCTGCTTGGGTCCACGATTTCCTATAGAATCTAAACAAGGATTGTTCCTGAGGGTCAGCTGCCCTGCATTAACTCTGAAGCTGGATGTAGAGTAGCAGTATCTCCATCACCATAACCCAGCTGAGACAGAAACCTGAGACACCTGAGAGTTTCAAGCCAAACATAATCTTTATTAGACTGTTTCTGTACAAAAAGCACGGATCACAAGAAAACAACTGAGGAACAGAAGACATGCATCTATTTACAGCATGGCCAGGTACAGAAAAACCAAGACCCTCAGGTGGGGGGTGGAGGATTTCCCCATCCTGGAGGGTTCATTCTTAAGACAATAATTAAACATTGTGCTTTGATATACTTTGATATATTTCATATTTCACAAAGATGATATACCTCTGCCCTCTTTCACATTGAAGTAAAACATCCAAAAAGTTTCTGTTTCTGGTGAAACTCCGAACTGAGGACCTTGATGGAGAAACACTAGACCAGACGGGTCAGGATGGCAGGTCACTTTTTTCCTTCACAATTTCAGTCCGGTTTCACTGATTCTGATTTACAAGAGTCAATATTTGAACTGAGGGAAAACCGGAAAAGTGCGAAGTGGGAAAGGAAAGAAGAAACCAGAGCTGGTGTTCCAATCAGACTCTGCGGATGGGATTCAGGTTTTCACAGAGATTCCCAATTCCAGACTTCTGTTCTGTTAAAACGCACTACACACTTGGAAAAGTTCTGGATATGTAGGTTTAACCTCAAACGTTAAAAAGTAAATTATATAAGAGTGAAAAAAATGTGAACCGCCTATTGTTGTTCTGTAGGAAACTGCTGGTTCTTTCATTAAACTTTTAGATTAATCCAAGCTGTGCTAAAATAATCCCTTTATCAATAAGTTCTTTACGTCTTTCTTCTTATAAGAACCAAAAACATTTCATTGTAAAAGCCGAGCCCTACTGATGTTCAGAGCCACTTCTTTCTGTATAAAAACAATAAATTATAAACCTTTCGATTTTTTTTCAGACCCTGAGAAAATCCTTCCTAATGAGTCAAATATTCTCCTCTTATCTCTGCAGGAAAAATATCTGAATCCTAAACTGTTTCTTTGTTCCTGTGACAGAGAACCTGAGGCAAATTAGATCAGGAACCAAAACTTTCTCTAATCGCTGCAAAAATGAAGGATTTCCTGACAGCAGTTCAGAAGATGACTGCAGAGCTAGGAACACAGTTCTGTAGGAAGATGATCTGGATTGTGTGGAATGTTGACAGACCCACCAGAACGGATATGAATGGAGGTTTTAAAATCTGTTTTGTCTGTAAAATAAAACCTCTACCTAAGGAATGAATCCCTGATAATGGAACAGGATGAGCTTTGTGGATGAAAACACCTGGATTTATATTGTTCTCTCATCTTTACTCTTCTCTTTTAGTGCTCCAACCAAAACAGTGCATTTAGAAATAACCTTGAATATAGATTTCACAATAATTCACACAGAACAAGAAAAAAAGCAGGAAAAACACAGTCTTTTACAAAAAGTTAAATATCAGAAAAAAGCATTTTTATACAAAAGTGATGAAAGTTTTATTTCCTGCTTTCGAAGATCAATAGTCATGTTTTTTTAGGCAATATTTTTTTTTTTTTTTTTACAAAAACAGGATTTTTCTTTTTCTCGGTTATTGTTTTTACAAGATCCAAAGGTATGAAGACATCCATGTGTTTACAGATATAATCCAGACTATCTTTCAGGCCTACATCACAGAAGGAACGCCCCCCTGGTAACATGGCAAAATAATCCCAACAAGGAGAAACAAACAGAATAAAACAGTCCCAACTCTCTTCTGGTTCAAATCTAAAACTGGACACATCAGCTGATAGAAGCTATGTAACAGAAACAAAGAAAGAAAAGTCAGAAGAAGCAGGAAGATCTGCAGCTTCCATCTTTACAGAATAAGGAACTCAAACTGATGGGTTCCCCCCTCCCAGTCCCAGAAAATAAGCTGAACTTGGTCCAACTGTGAAATGGAAGTTTTCAGGCCAACAGAATCAGAATATTTAGGATTTTAAGTGGGTGGAGCAGGGAACTAAGATCCACCTTCGGTTCCACTGAAGATGATCCCAGAGGAGATTAGTGTTTTTTAAAACCAGACTAATGTTGACCCTAAAAACCCAAAGATCAAACCTCTGATGGCTGAAATTGTTCCATTCTTCACTTATTTGTGTTTCAGTCAAATTTTAAAATGGTCTTCCTTCAGCTCAGCTTTGAGCCAAACTGAGGCTCCCATTGCCTCTGATTCAGTTCCAGAGAAAATAGTTTATAGTTCTAGAACAACAGAACCAGCTTAAGACTATCCAGTCTGTGAAAACATCCCACTCTGATGTCCTCCGTTGGTCTGATCCGCCAGCAGGGGGAGTGTGATGTGGTCTGCTGGTGGTGGAGGAGATGAAGAAGAAGACGACGGAAACAGAGGTGGTTCTGGGTTAGAGTGAGGTGGCGTCGTCAGATCTGAGGCGTCCTCACATGGGGGGCACGATAAGACCAGCCATGGCTGAAACACACAAATGCTTATGTCAGATTTAACTGAATTCAGATAAAAGAAATTGATTAATAAATGTAATAAATGTTTCTGAATTGAAAAACTGCATTTGTGTGGATATATTTAATCCAACTTATTATATAGCTATTTATTTAAATATAGTAAAAATATTCTTAAGTTTTATAAATACTTTCATTAAAAATATAATAAAATCAAGTTAATACTTAAAAATTACTCATTTTAACTAAATTGATTTATAATGAGACTGTCAGTTCCTCCTCTAAATTAAATTGGAAAATAATTTAAAAAAATACAAACATTACCTATATGATATACAGTTATTTAACATAATTTCATAGAAAAACATATGCATACATTTTAAAGTTGGTTAAATTAAATCAGAAGAGAATCTCGCTTATAACAATTGTATTTAATCATCTAACGTTGATACGGTAATTCCATACTAAAATGAGCACATAGGTGGAAAATGAAGTTCCTCAATGTAAAATATTATAAATTTGTTCTTCTTATCAATTGAATGAAGCATCTGTGCTTCAGTGACCCCACACGTGGACAGGGCCCTGATTTTAAGGGACAGGTTGTTCTACATCTGTTGACTCTTAAACAGCCATCTGATTGGCTGCAGCTGAAGAACACAGACATGCCGATATTTCTGATTTTTACGACAGAAATTCCTTTTCTTCCATTTTAAACATAGGTTTTTCCTTTCAGTAACAGCAAAGGGATACAACTATCGAAGAGGAACAGACCCACGCTGGAGGGCTCTTTAGTATATTTCCTTTTCAGGAAGGCTCACACTCCTGAAAAGAGCTGTCTAGAGGTGGACCACTGAGCCTTGGAGCATCGATCAGCTGGATTCTTAAGGTAAATTATCTTCTGATCCATGTCTGGTGATACCGATGTGAATTGCTATTAAGAGACTGTAGTGAACCAACAACTAAACATCCAACTGACTTATTTCTGAGTCCGTCTTCTTGAAACTGATTTTCCTGCTCTGCTCAAAGGAAACAAATGGAAATGGCTTCAGTTATGGATCAACTTTGACCTCTGACTGTTCACAAACAGCATCACAGGGATGCTGGATGTCCCGCCGTGGACCACGGGGGGAGGTGAAGGGGTGGGACGAGCAGGGGTAGGGTGTGGGATGCTCACCCTGAAGGTTGCTGCCATTGGTGGTGGTGCAGGTGGGGGGCGGGGAGGTCTGTGGCCGCACGACGGGGGCGAAGGCGCTCTTCTGTTTGACTGTGGAGATCATATGGACAGGAGAGAATGAATAAGGGCCTGGGAGCAGAGGAAGAACAGGAGGAGGTGAGGAAGACGAGGGGTGACTTGCAAGCAGATGGGCGGGTGAGGCATGCAGGGAGGTGGGGGTTGTGTGTGGGGGGTAAAGATGGAGAGGAGGGTGAGGAGGAGTAGGATCGGGCCATGGTCTGGAGGAGCAAACACGTCCAGCAAAGTTGATCCATAACCTGAAGGAACAAACCAACCTGATGGGAGCCTGGGGCACCGGCTCATAACATAAGCCCTGTGCAGGAGTGGGTGGTGTTTGAGTGTGTTGGTGTGTGTGTGAGTGGGTGTGTTAAACCCATCAGCTGGTGGTGAGGTGTCGTCTCATTAAAGGAACAGCTACACATTTTCCGTGACCTTCTGTCAGAGAGCGAGGTGTTCAGGGAGAAACATGGGGAAACGTCTGACTCTACTGGTTATACTGGGAGGTTTTTGTTTTTGCTCATTAGTACATTTAGAACAGATACAACAGAAAGTTTTTTAGCTGTTGGTCAGAAAGTTATCCTAAACTGAAGTAAACTTTAGGAGATTGTGCAAGAAGCTGAATGCAGCTTATCTGTCTGAATGATTCCCAGCTAAAATCCAAGGAACTTGTCACTTCCAGATTGAGCCAGGTTCTAATTCTAGTTCTTCAAGTGTCCTTCTTTAATTATCTTTCCTCTCAAATGTTGCTACTTTCCCAGCGTTTTATTGTCATTATAGTGTTACAAATACAGAGCAAGGATATTAACTCTCTGCATTTAACCCATCCCCCTTGGGGAGCAGAGGGCTGCCATTGTGTGGCACCCGGGGAGCAGCGTGGGGGATAAGTGTCTGGCTTAGGGACCCGTAGTGGCAGTCTGTGGGAGTGGGGCATGAACTCAGAAGCTCAGGATTCCAAGCAATGCCCTAACCACTAGGCTGCCACTCCCCAAAGCAGACATTAATGTAAAGTGTGTTGCATGAGGACCCACACTGGCAGCTCATTCCCCCCAGCTGGGATAGGAACACAGGCTCCCTTTTTGCAGGATAGGTGACTTACCAATTGAGCTAGCCAGTCACTAAATCTCCTCTTTCCTAGGAAGAGAGATAGCTGAAAAGTCAGGGGCTTGATGCAGCGGTTTGGATGAACAATAATGGAATATTAATGGATTAATAACTATGCTCTAACTGGAATAAATCTATTTAATCTGTCAGTCTGGATTGAATGGACCACTTGGCTCTGGAAATTGACTTAATGTTTTAGTAAATAGCCTTGAGACAACATTTGTGTTGAAATGATATCATATAATAAACTGAACATAATTTAATCACTTGTTTTTACAAACTCAAAGTCTTCATGCATCACTGAGTCAGTCACCCTCCACCGCTTTAAGTTTCTATGATGCATAAAAAAATGTTTCCAAATATGGGAATTTTTATTTTTCACTGAAACATGCACCTTTAGTCTTTACAAAGACTAAAAGGGCAGACTGCAAAGCGCAGAATAACAAGCTCTTAGAAAATTGATGGAACCCCCCGCATATTAAGAGCACGCTGTTTCTAACATGGGCTGTTACCTTGTTGATTAATCCACGGTGGAAATGTGCTGAAATTGGTTTGTTTGTGAATTGAGTCAGGCTGCAGCGACCAGCTGAGCACCTCAGTCCAGCAAAGTTAAAAGCAGAGGTTGGAGATGTGGAGTCAACGAGTCATCTCCATGTCATGTATTTGTTCTACTCAGCCACTGAACCAGGTCCAATCTGCACAATTGAATTCACTGTGCAGATTGGACTCACCTGGTTCAGTGGCTGAGCAGAACAAATACATTACATGGCTCTTTGACTCCAAATCTGGTTAAAAGTATGTTTTTTTTTTTTGGTTCTTCTGTAATCAGACACATTTGTCTTAAACATACGTGAGTTATACCTTTGTCTGTTACAGAGCTGTCATCAGCAGAGATTCATTTAGGCAGAGTCGACATCTTTCAGCGATAAGCCACCAGCAGAGGACAGTGTCGGCCTGTCAACATAACTGACATGCTGACACTGCCGGAACAAACAACAGCTACGGACACCTCAGATAAGGACCTCAGATAAGAACGGAAGTTAAGCTGTAGTAACTGTAGGAGGGGGGGTAAGAAAATGACTTTATAGAGATAAGTACGAGTCAGTTAAGTGACTCCCAAGTCTTGAACAACTTAATCAGGACTTCCACATTATTATTAATAATTAGGAATATAATCTCCTGAGGACCAACTGAAATGTAAGCCACATCCAGAGTCTTTCATCCTAACAATCAGATTCCATTTAAAGATGAAACAGGACTGTCAAAGTTCTGTACAAGTTCCCTTGTACCTGTGACCATTTCAGTCAAACTGGGAACCTAGTCTGAGGAAGTTTCGCTAATGTTTCAAATAAATATTTTACATTTCCGGCCAGGCGGCCAGACGTCTTCTATCTTTTAACTCCAGGTATGATTTTCAGTCCATCTGAACGTGTCGCTCTCTGCTGAGAAGAGAAATTTCTCTGGAAAACATGGATGTGTTCCTTTTGGAGCATCCAGAGAGCTTTTCTGTGTAGATGACCCATCTGAATATGAATCAGTGAGAATGAAGCGGGGATGTAACGTGATTTATCGCTTCATGCCAGCATCTGTCACTCCTCACATTTCTTCATTGTTCCTGTTGTTCTGGAGTTAATGGATTGCGCCTGACGCAGGAATTCAGGAAGGATGTGGTGAGGATGTTAGTGGGGTTAGTGAAGGAGCAGCAGGAATGGGATGATGGACAGGACGACGGTCAGGAGGAGAGAAGGAGTCAGGATAGGGATGAGCAATGTGTGGAGGTGTTCCCACATACATTACATACACACCACACACACACACAGTGGGAGCCTCTGCATCAGGAAGCTGCAGCTTGGCCAGGCGTTGTTTGGTCGCCGGGGACAACAGCATCACCTGGCTCGGAGACGCGGATTGAGCTCGCTGCCGTCTAAACGAGTCTCACTGAGACTTGTTGAGCTTTTTGAAACAGAAGCCAAAACAATGAAGGGCTCCCGGCGGGCAGCTTCTGACTTCACCGCGCTCCAAAAACACACCTGCGCCTTCTGAGCTTCAGCTGCAGGGATGCCAATCAGCTCTTGCACCAACAGTAGTGGCTCGGAGCTATCCTCCTGCAGCAGCTTCATGCTCACCTGCTGCACACCTCCCTCGCCTCACTGAGTCAGATTCCAGGTGGACATGGGTAGGACCAGACTGTCTGCTTCCTGTGCCATTTTACTTCATTAAAACTGAATTTGATAATATCTTTGAACACCCCCTGACTTGTGTTCGCCCTGATTCTGATGCTTGTGATCATCTCAGACGCCAAACAGAGCCTCTTATACTCTGATCCAGTTAGAAATCAGTTGATATGAAACAAATTTCCTTCATTTCTCAACCTTCAGCATATTAACACATCTACTTCCTTCAGAACCCCGACCCAAAAATAGTTGCTCTTTCTGGTGTCTTTTTTGCACGTTTAAGTTTCCGTGTTACGCAAGAAACTTAAGCCTAAAGTTAGCTAAATTACTTAGACTTAGACCGACTTTATTATCATTTTGTACACAGAGTGTATACAAAAAGAAATTTTGTTTACTAAACTTCTCAAGACATTTCAATTTCTAAAGTGCAAATAATTCTTTGTTGTTTTTCTTGATTATCTATTTAAATGCTCAAAAAGCTGTGCATCAATTCAGATTATTGATATCCCTTAGTAAAAAGTAGTTTATTCGAGTATACTAAAAATGCATTAATTTTATACTTAAAATCAGGCAGTGCATTTAGAGTTCAATTATTCTAAACTATATTTCATATACTTAACAATAGTATAGTCAAGTGTACTTGACTATACTATTGTTTACTTTATTGTTTACTAAAGTATACTTTAAGTATGCTTTAGTAAACTTAAAAATGTCCCGATTTAGTTTGAAAAAGTATTACTTTAGTAATACTTCAAGCACACTAAAAGTACATTGTTCGTTATACTTTCTAAACTTAAACTTAAGTATTCTTAATATAATTTACTTCAAGTACACTACTTTTTGCTAAGGGATACTTTACAAACCTGTGATGGATATGAGCAAGTATTTTACACTATTCAAATCAACACCAAAAACAACTAAAACCTGACCTGACTTAACATGCTAACATTAACATTAGCAATATTGGTGAGTTTGCATTGAATGCCGTTCCAGCAACAGTGTCCACATTTGGGTGCCGTCACTTGCTTGACATATTGCCAGCAGTTTGCATAACAGGCAACAAGCTACACTCTTATCACTCCACCATAAAAGGATCTTCTATCTGCTGCTCCCAGTTTCAACTTAGCTGGGTTTTAGTGAGAGATTCATGGTGCTTATCTATCATGTAAAGTCGAACAGCGTCAATCTCTGGAAGATCCTACAGATCCAGAGATGCTCCTGGTTGGGGGAGTCCAGGAGCCGCGCTTCTCACACTACTTCTGCCTGACCAGGTCCCACTTTAGGGGAGGATCACCTTGACAACAGAGGTAAGGTGAGGCGGCGTTCTGGAGCTCAGGCAGGAGCAGCTGGAGACCAGAGAATGAGCCCTAGCAGAGACAGCACCTCAACCAAGCAGCAGATGGCTGAAGCCAGCTCTGGAGCTGCAAGAGGAGGATGAGTAATGAATGATTTAGCAGTGCTTTTATGGGCTAAATTAAAACAACTATATTAAAAGCCACCCACTCACTTCTTAAGAGAGTTGCTTACTTCTTCCAATGTTCACAGTATTTTTCTATTTTTTATTACGATTGAAAAAAAAGCTATGTCTCCACTGTACCTCTTTACCCTGCATCACAGCCGAATCCCCTAAACAGATTTTTTTAACTCTTGTTGCAATGCCGTTATCACCATATTTTTGCCTTTCGCTAGAAGTCTGTTCATTGCGTCACTTTGCACTGTAGCACTCCTGTAGCACTCCTCTACATAGGGATACCCTAAATCGATCACTCTGGCCACTGGAAATAGATTCAGTGTGAATGCCTTTCTCAACAGCTGTTTAATGTGTAAAAATCTGCTTCAACAAATTTCTCAACCATCAAATATTAAGCTTGACTATATCAGTTAGACTAATCAAACTGTTAATGTAATCATATATCATCACTATTGTTTTATTTAATTTGTTCTTAACCTTTATAGGGTTTTGGGGTCACTACTGATGCCTTTTGACTTTTGAGTACAAAACTTACCACATACATTTTATTTTATTGCATCAAGATTTTTTGACTCTGTCAGAGATCTCTGTGTTAACTAAAGAAAGCCAAAACATTTAACAAAATATTTTACCTCACTAATACTGTTAGCCATCAGCTCACCGACAGCCAGCTCTTCTACCAAACCTTAGTCCTTAAATAAAACGTTGCTGCCTTTTCCTTGAGGTAAACACAAGGGGCTCTTTCTGAAACCCGACATTTATACTCCAGTAAGATTTAAAAAATAGATAAATAAAAATAATGTGTAATCTGATTTTCTCTTTTTTTTTTTTTTTTTTTTTTTAGCTGAATAAAATATTACAGCATGCTAGAAAATTTTAAACAAATCTTTTGAAGAAAAGCAAGGCCTAAAAAAGTAACTAAGACTTATAGAACAAATAGTTATCAAAGAGCATTTTTCGTTGTTGTTGATATAAAGACTGACACCAAACACCATGTAGTAACAGGGAGAAATAACCTCTGAGAAACATCTATTCTGAGATACGTACGTTTGATGCTTAACCCATCTTTAGCTATACTAACATTAAAAAAAATAGCTAGCGATCATTTCTGATTGCTCCTAATACTGCCTCCTAATATTAAGACCTACAGCTAATGATGATTAAGTTCTTTAAATTAGCTTTAAGCGATCTAAATGTTAAACCACTGATAGAATGCATTGGACATCATGAGACTAAGCTGTGTCACACAAAAGCGATTGCATTGAATTAAGTCAGGACTGCTGCAGAAGCAGCATTAAAACTGCACAAATAGGTTATTTTTGTAATCAAGTTAACTTTTATAAGTAATGACAGTTTGACTTGAATGTGACTGAAGTCTAATTTAAATGCAATGTAATATTCGAAAGATTTCAGAAAAACATAGTTCACAGGTGCTGGACAGGCCATGCTAGTGTTATGACTCTTTACCACTACTGTTTATGTCCTATCTGCTTTGTCATAAATAAATATATTTGGCCCGAATTTTCTTTTTTATCCTCTCTCCACTCCTTTAGTCCTATTTTCTTCGTTTTTCTCTCTGTCCTTCTCTGCACCACTCACAAACCTCACCTCCAAAAAAGGATGGGGGGGAAGTATCTGTCTTAGTGTGATATAAGCCAAGTCTATTTATTTCTAGTGGATATAAAATGTAATTAAGCTTTTTATGAAAATATATGACAAGTGCTTTAGTTATTATGTACTCATTTGTGAAAAGAGAAGGTTGGGCACAGCTGGTAATTAGACAAGAGCTGGGCATGCAGAATGACGGGAATGTGGCCCCATCACATCACTCACTACCACTGTTCTGTGCTGCTTATCAGTTATCACAATGTCCAGTTGCTTGACAACTACCATTTTGTCTGTTTTTATCTGGAAATCCCACAGGATTCCCACAGCTCTGACGTTATCCATCACCTTAGAATGTGACCAGTTAGATGCATGTATCACAGGCTTTTTTAAAGGTCTACATTATCTTCTTTTTGTACCTAAATTCCTTAGAATATAATTGAGAATTTACACTATAATGATCTGTTTGAAGAGTTTGACACAGCTTTTAGAGCTCATGAAAGCGCTGAAACAGTACTGGTGAAAGTCCATAATGATGCTCTCAAGTCCTAAGATAATGAATTGGTACGTGTACTTGTCCTGTTAGATCTCAGTGCTGTATTTGATAAATATAGATTAGAATACTATGTAAAAAAAAGTTGAACTTGCTGTAAGGGAACATTACTAGCCTGGTTTAAATCGTATGTGTTTAACAGATCATGATTATTCTTCTTCAAACTCCAGGGTTGTTTTTGGTGTAACACTTATATCCTGGTGAAACTCCTTTCAGGTAAATGGAAATTTACAATTTTAATTCTAAAGTATAAAGTGATAAATAATCAAGCTTATTCCTACATCCAAGGTCTAACTGTTCGTTATATTTCTACCATAGTACCTTATTATTACTCATTTAATTTCCCCTTGGGATTAATAAAGTATTTTTGACTTAAATTCTAATTACATTCGATCACAGGTTAACTGGTGGTTCCTTACGGTTTTGAGGTTTACAAATATGTCAACTATGAAATGTTGATCTTTACTTCTAAATCTGTAAAATGAACCATACTGATAGCATAATGATGTTAACACAGGCAGATTCTGTGGACAGTTAGTGGGATCTTTAAACCTCAGAGATGATGTCCATTGATTCCCCAAGCAGCTAATCCATTGCATTACCAGAGAAATTAAATAGAAAATACAATTCTGTCTTTGTTCTCAAGTTTTAACAGCAAATACATCCCTTTTTTTATGGTGCCACATTGACCTGATTAGTTAATATTTACATACAATGTGACTTTAAAAGTTGGTGTTAAGATATTAAGCTTCTTTAAAACGGTTCAGTTTTTGACTCATTGGAATTCTGTGTTTTAAGTTCTGGGAATAATCCTTGCTGACTAAGTACCTTAAGCATACATCAAACTCAGCCTTTAAAGATGTTTCGCTATTATTTATATATTTTTTTTATATTAAACATTGTGATGCAGTTTTACCCAATGCAATGTTTTAGATCTGAACAGTAGATGTTTATCCAGCATTAGAGGCAGATGTGCAGTATTGTGTTTACATTAATTTTTATTTAAGGCCCTGCATATGAAGAAGTTATTTTAGAAAATGTTTGCAGAAACAGTTTCTTTGCAAAAAATGTTTGGTGGATTTATGGATTAAAGTTTCTCAGGAAGCTCCACCTTGCCAATAAACTGTCATAGCATCACTGCTGGTTTTAGTTTCTTTACACTGCCTAAACTCAGAGGAAGCAACGCAGAGTACCAAAGAACTGCAGCTCCTTTCAGTACCTACCATTGTTCATTAAAGAACATTAATAAACCAGTGTTCTCCTACAAATGTTCCATAAACAACATTCCAAAATCAGTTATCCCTGACAAACTTTCCCTGACTAACATTCCCAAATTGATGTTCCCTACACATCCTGCCATACTGATGTCCCCTAACCAGTGATCCCTGACAACTTTCTCTTACAACATCACAGAAGTCCCACACAGTCACACTCTCCCCAGAGATGGCTAGAGTTGAAAGATGAAGGCTCTCCTCCTCCTCCTCTTCTCACTGACCACTCCTCTAAGGGATGAAGGTTTGATTTTATCCAGACATCGACTCACTTGCGTAAGCAGAGTTGGCGGTGGATCCATTGAGGAAGCTGGGAGAGCCAGGGACGCCGAGGTTGGTCATCCCAGCAGCTCCATACCCGTTCATGGTGGATGTGATGGTGTTATAGTTGGATTGCTGAGGCGTGGAGCTTGGCACATATCCTCGAGGAGACACGCTGTTTGAGTTACGGGAATAACCTGAGAGGATCAGAAAGATAAGGCATTTTTTTGTTTGTTCACAGACTGTTTGCATCCTCAACCGTATATCATCTGAGGAACTCTAAACCTCAGGTCAACCGCAGGACCAAAAATGATTTAAAGAAAGTTTTTGAGTTGCTTAATGTCAGATATAATATATAGTTTTGTCTAAAAGCTTAATGTGCAACAAAAACAGGTGAAATTTGCAAGAGAATGAGTAATCTTTTCCAGCTATGTATCTGGTCAATGACGTAATAAAACAGATTAAAAAAACACAGAAAAAAATAACGTAGAGGCCCTTCTATCTGTTCAGTATAATCTTGATGAAAATAAATCGCATTTTGTTGTTAAAAAAGAAAAAATAGGAGAATACTGGTTTTCTTTTCAATATCATAATAATGTATAAGAAACACAAAGTTCCATGAGTCAATCAGAAATAAAACAGAGGAGTTTGGACCGGGCCAAAGGAGCCATGACCTCTTTGTTTATCCACTATTTGTATAGAAAATTTGTAGTTACTCCCTATTACTCACTTCAGATTGATTTCAATATTCCATTTTTTACAAACATTCCTTAATGCTGATCTCTTTTACTTATACTTCCAAAGCAGCCCCACTTTCATCTTCTCTCTAAACTGGGTTCTGGTTCTGATTCACTAGAGTTCTGTGAGGCCCATTAATCTGGGAAGAATCTGCAGCGGAATCCCAGATATTTTCCTAGAGAATGTTTTTAGATGATATTTGGTGAGATGACTGTTTTCCCTGCCTGCTCTCCTCTCAGCTTCAGGAACGGATCAGAGGAGGAAGTAGAAGCTGTGACGCCGAGCTGCTCGGAATTAGCCTCGTAAATTACCCGGCTGCTCCGTGGGATAATGTTTCTATTAATGCTTTAATCACAGAGGATAATTACGGAGCAGCGGGGAGGACGCCCGGCAGGTCCTCGGTGTAATGTTTCAGTGCGAACAGAAACTGTGGAGTTATGAAAGCTCGTTTCCCATGACCTCATGGATTCCTGAGAGGTGTTTGCTGCCGGATTGGAGAAGCAGATGGGGGCAGTGCAGGTGGGAAGGGTTTGCTTCCTGCTCAGGTGCTTTCATAAGCTGCAGGTTTTTCAGAGCTTCCAAGGAGGACCCTGGTCTCCATCTGCAGCAACCAGAGCCCTAACCTGAGGAGTGGGAATGCTTTATGTCTTACCCTGGTCGGCTTGGGACGCCTCGCTGATGTTTACAGCCAGCTGACTGCTGAACGAGTTGACGGCCATCATCCCGGAGTGAGCGGCAGAGCCTGTGAGCGATGGCAGCTGGTTATGGCTGCGAGGGACACTGTAGAGAGCCTCGGTGAGGTCGGCGGCTCGCTTCAGGATGATCTCCTGCAGGGAAGGAGGAGAGATATGTATAGGTTTATTAAAGATGCTTTTTTTCCCCTACTTTTGCTCCCTCTTAAGAAAGCAGGATACATCAATCACTTTCCTGCTAAAACTATAGAATTTATATTTCTGACAAAAAAAATTATTTCAAAATTGTTGTAAATTAAGAATAAAATAGAAACACAACCCAGTGATTGGTTCTGATGTTACTATGGCAACACAGGTAGTCTTAGCTGGTCAATTAGCCAGGTTATCTGTTCTGAGAAAGCTTGCTGTCCACTGCTTCACAATGTTGGAGGGTGTGTTCGTTCAGAGGGTATCAGTTGCTCTACAGATCTTCTGAGCTTTGAATATGACAGCGGTTGAGGTTTCAGTCAATCCACCTAGGATCAGTCAGACCCAGTGTCTAACATGTCCCGATGTAGACATTTCAGTCGGAGACATCCTGATGATATCTATGTAAGGAGTGCAGTTACATCTGGCTGTGATTAAATCACTCAGCTTGTATTTTGGTTATGAATCTGACCCGATCCTAAGCCCTTAAACCCAATCAGATGGTTTCTTCCTGGTCAGAGGACACTGATGTTAAGGCTAAAACAATAGATTCTCGAACAATAGGTTCTCGGATGGGTGGGGATGTTGCGTCATGCTCACCTGGTTGTTGTGGGGCATCCCATAGAGAGCTTCCACCAGGTCAGCCGCTCGCTTCAGCAGAACCTCCTGGGAATGACAGAAAGCTTGGTTTAGAAACCTGCTGCTCACAAATTAGAACTAAACTCATTTATCTTCCAACTTGCATTTTATCCTGAAGCCACTAAAACAGTTACTGACGTTTGAACTAAAGGACAGAGAACAGATGTCTTCCCATCAGGAGAGGAGAAGCCCAATGTGTACAGGTCACTGACCTCCAAGCAGGTCAGCACAGTCACATCACTCAAATTACAGCATCAGCATCAGAAAAGCGGGTGCTCCCAGAGAAAGGATGCATTACTGAGACCTTATCTTATTTTATTCTTATATCTTATTTTTACATTGTTTATATGGGAAGGATTGTAATGCACTATTTATAGGGGAGGGGTGTCATTTTACTGTATGGGTTGTAATTTTACTTATTTTATTCTGGCTTATATATATATATATATATATATATATATATATATATATATATATATATATATATATATATATTGCTTTGTTGTACTGACAATATAATTTTTCTCTGTTCTGTAAATGGGTGCACTGCAAGAAAATTATTTCCTGCAAGGGATTAATAGAGTAATTCTGATTCTGAAATGAGACGAATAAGAGAGGTAAGAAACTGAAAAAGGAAAAGGTATTGATTTGCTCTGAAAAAGCTAAAAACATAGAGAAGAAACAATAAAAGGGATGAGCACTGAACAGACAAAACAGAGAAGAAACAAAACAAAACTGAAGATGATCAAATAAAGGATGCAAAGAAGACAAGGAGGAATAACAGAAGGCGAGGAATCCCAGAGGAGCAGCAGTGAGGAGGTGGAGGCCTCTGCTGGAGCTCCTGCAGGTATTACACCTCAGTGAGATCAGCTGAGAGAGATGTCAGTCCTTTGAGTTCAAATGATATAAGGAAACATAAAAAAAAAGCATCTGGTTCTGACTCCGCCCATCCTCCACCTGAAGGTTTCAGTCCCCCTTAATCACATTAGACAGCTTCAACACCAGAAAAACCATCAAAGCTCAATCTAAGGACTTATAATCCTGCCTCCAAACCTTTACTGTGGGTGAACAGGCTCTCCTGGAGAACAGGTAACATTAAGGAAAGGCATCATCCACTTTTATTGTCTCAATAATTCATTCAAAAATTTTTTTCAAGCTACAGCTACTTCAGGAGAGCTGAATATGAAAAGGACAGCGTTTAAATAATTTGCTTTAAATTACATATACACTAATAACAATAGTAAAATAAGAAAGAATAGATGAGTAAGGTAAAAAAGAGTTGTGATGATGATAAAAAGAAAAACAAGAGCAGAGAAGATGACACTTTTTAGGCATAAAAACGTGAAAATATGACAATTTAGTAAATCATAAATTTTTTACATAATTATAAACAAGGCTCTAAAGTGATCAATTTTGTACAAAAAGATAAAATAAAAATAGAAAACAATGAAAGCAAAAGTCAGAATAGGTCGTGTCCACATGAGAACAAACATATCTTTTCATAAACGACAAGATATAATGCCAGTCCAAATCAGGGCCCGTAGGACTACACAAGAAGCTGTAGTATGTATGCCGTGCACTTAGGTGGCACTGTGACACTTTTAACAGAAACACACTAAAATTATCGTTGAAATTATGAGCATCGCAGAAAATACAGCAAAGATGAACCTGAAGTCGCAGAGAGATATGGAGCTATGATGTCTTTGTTTCAGAAAAGACAATTTATACAAACGGCAAACATGGCTTTTGAAAATCCCCTTTCCTGTCAGCCTACTTTCCATAAAACGAGCCACTAGTGCCGTAAAAAAAACAAAAAAAACAAGAAAGAAAAGCTTAATTATCTAATTATCTTAATTATCTCCTCTCACTTCTATTAAGGTGTTAACCCAAAGCTAGACAATGAAGCTAATGAGCTGGATAAAAAAACTGGAAGTTCCCAAGGAGGGTGTGGCAAGAGGTACAAAAAAAATAATATTTCTCCCCACATTTCATATGGTGAGAGATATTTATCTGGAAATAATCTAAACATCAAGACAGGTAAGCAAGATGCATTGGCCACAAAGGTTAAAAAAAGATACAGTATCTATGAATTATTTTGAAGTTCTAGATGCTGAAAGTAAAAAAAAAAAAAACTAAGTAAGCAAACAAATCTATCTATGATATTATCTATTCCAGATCATCTTGGTCCAACCCAGAGGCACTAAAGGTTGAAACTCAGCACAGGAGTACTTTCTGGAAAGGCCAAAAGTAAAGCCGTAATTTTAACATTAACATTTTATTTGCTTTAATAGACCCTTTTTCAACAATTAAAATGGGATAGAGAGAAAAATCATTATATGAACCATGCAATTTACTATAAAAATATGTTGTGTATATAAAATATGCATGTATCTTATTTAAACAAATCAGTTTCAGTTTGTCATATTCTGTCTCGCAAACACCTCCAAATGCAAAGAGTAAACCCAAATGTAAATAGTGTCGAACACTCTAAACTTAGCTAGTGAACTTAACTAAACTAATAGGCTTCTACTTTCACATAAAAGAAAAAAGGTACAAATAAAACTGGTTTAAAACCATTACCAATAAAATGATGCAGTGATTATCACAGTTCAATATGGATTTCATATTTGAAGGGTTTATCTTGAAAAGTTTTGAATGAGGTTAGATTAGCTTTTAAAATAATTTATATTTTCTCCAGTTATTTAATAGCTAATACGCTGGTAGCTTAATTAGTCTCGCAGCTAAGTTGGGTGATTAATGATACTTCACAAAATTACCATTAATCACCAACAAGAATACCTTTTACGTGTATAAGAAAACCAGCGACACTGCAGAGCAAAAGGAACGAGTCAATGAACGAGCTGTGTAGTAAACAAACACATTTTCCAGTGAACCCAGTCTGGTATTGGACAACAGATATTCCTATTTTTCTTTCTTTTCTGGAGCATCTCCTGGTGTTCAAACAACTCTGGCTCACATTCCTACTGCAAGTCTGTAGTTTTCCTCAGAAGAAAATAATAAGAATATAAAAATATGACGGACATGCTGAATGCTCTGATCTTTTAAATCTGTAGAATCAGAGAAATCACCCGCTGGAGAACTTTGTGGTCAGATAGTCCCTGCAGGGATTTCCACTGAATTTTTCCAGGTTCCCCTCATCTTCCAAACGCGTTGTCCCCTGAGGCTGGGTGGAGGAACGGTTGCCATAAAGCATATGACCTCCCCTCTCAGCCAATCAGAGTACAGCCCTGCACACACACTGCTGCGGGTTTCCCACGACCGGGGCCGACCTCGAAGAGATCCTCTGACACGCTTGGGATGTTTCTTGGGAGCAGAAAGAGAATCCTGGAATCTATTTCTGTTTTCTGACACCAGAACCAGCCGTCAGTTCTGTTTATTTTCAAAAGTACCAGAACCAGAAGTGATGACCCAGATCCATCTGTGGTTTGGGGGCAATAAAACATGTAAATATTTAGGAGAATTAAGAAAAAAAATATCTCAAAGCCACCTCTTGGTACAGCAACCCAAAATCAAGGAGGTAGCTCCTAAAGTTGGTTCTGATTGCAGGTTTATCCTAGTTGTCCTTCGAGCTGTGTGAATCTGTGACTCGAAGGAATGTCCTGGAAGTTTCTAAAGAGCAGCTCTTCAAGAACCATGGAAGCTTCCTTTAAGGAAGACAAGGTAATTCCCTGTATTCATGGTTCTGTGCCGTCAGGATGGCGTAGAATCTGGGTTAGCGGTTCATTAGTCCTAAGCCTACACAATATTGACCAGACAAAACTGTTTCATCTCAGCTGGATGTTGGTGCAGTCGGATTCTGAAAGAATTTCCTTCAGAACCTCGGTCCTCCTAATGTCTTCATCCTGCCATTCCTCCTCCTCCTTTTATTATTTCACTTTAATCTTTTTATTTTCTCTCAGTCTCAAACTAATCAAACCTCTCAGTGTGTTTGTGTTTGTGCGTGTGTCAGTGTGTGTGTAATGTGTAGTTCCTGTGGCTTCATTAATCTCCATTAGAAAACAGAAGTTAGTTAATGTCTCCTTCACTCTGCTGCTGCCGCAGAGACGCCACGAGTCAGCAGCTGCTGCCCCCCCCAGCCCCCCACGCACTCACCGACACCCCCCATCCACCTCCACCTCATTCAAGCTCCACTGTGTGTGTGAGTCCTTCTGTTTTCATTACGCCCTGACAGACACAACAGCCTTCTCCAGTTAATGACGCCTCAGAGGCCTCGCCGCTGCTGCTCATTCTCACAGGAAGTGTGTCTTTGGAGCTTCCTGTGAAGGTGTGTGAAGGAGTGTGTGGGTGCCGTTCTGTTTTGTTTGTGTTCTGCATCGATCAATGAATTCTGATCTGATCAAACATCAATATAAGACAGTGCTAGCTACCGGGGGGTCCCTCAGGAGCTTCAGGGTCGAAGTTCAGCACGTGATGTTTTTCT